CGCGGCCTCCTGGCCGTCCCCGAGGCCGGGGTCAGCGCACGGCTGGATACGCGCATCAAGGGGGGGGTACTGTCACGGAATCAGCCGAGGCTGCCCATCCTCCTTGCTCGGGCAGGCTTTGCCGTTCGTCGTCCCCGGAGTACTAGCTGCCACCGATCTATGTTTCGGTGTTTGTCTAGTTTGTCCTGATTGTTTTCACCTGTTTCCTATTATGTTACATTGTATTCCCTTTATAACCCCCTGTCTCTCATTGGTTATTGTGTGTGATTCTTTTCCGTGAGGTCGGCAGTGTTCGGGTGTATGCGTATTTGGTTTCCTCCTTGTTTGGAGGTTTTGTTTGTATTTTGATTACTGTGCTAGTAAAGTTAGTCTGCCAGTAGCTCGGTGTCCTGCGCTTGACTTCGCTCACCGCATACACGTCGCCCTGACAGTAAAATCCACATGAATGTAGAAGTGTTTAGAAACATATTCTATTCTTATTTACTACAAAAGTGACTCCAAAATGAAACAATACATTATTTACCATTCATTTCTATTGGACACAAAATAATCTTAAACACAACCAAAACAAACAGCAAATGCATCCAACAAGTTTGTAGGGTCACAAGCTTGATGTAATCATTGCGTGCTATGAATTTGGGACCAAATACTTAAGTCTTTACTACTTTAATACACATATAAGTGAATTTGTCCCAATACTTTTGGTACCCTAAAATAGGGGGACTGTGTACAAAAAGTGCTGTAATTTCTTAACAGTTAATCCGATATGGATGACAATACCCTCAAATTAAATCTGACAGTCTGCACTTTAACCTCGTAGTCATTGTATCATTTCAAATCCAAAGTGCTGGAGTACAGAGCCAAAACAACAACAAATGTGTCACTGTCCCAATACTGTCAGATGCAGCTGAAGTGGCCCTTGGAAAGTTGATAGACACACCCACTCGATTGGGGCTAATATCCTCATGATCTTCTGAATGTAAAAACATTTTGTAAGCCTAGTTTATCTACAGTCTAGGGATGCAAATGGTTCTCTTTTTAGGTATTGCTTAACCAATCAGAAAGTGAAGAGGATCGGGGGGGAATAATATGCCCCCTGGTTTGAGGATTGAGACGTAGGCTTCTGTGAGGAGTGTTAGTGTAGCATAAGAAGAGAAGAGGCCCAGAGAGATTACACATGGATCAGGGCACAGAGAAACAGCACTGATAATTAAACAGCATTGTGTTTCATTCTTGCTGCAATGGAGCAGTTGATTAGAAAGATAATTGTATTGGATAGTGAGATTTGATAGGGGAGTTTCTTGTCTCGTCCAGTCGTAATCGAAAACAGAGCAGCGCTATCACAAAACAAATTGCATGTGAGTGCTTGATTACTGTTTCGCATTCTTGACACCTGGTGACGAAGGCATGCATAATGATTGCTACATAGAGAATATATCCCGTGGTAAATTAAGCTTCAAATCAATAACACATTTATAGAACTGTGATCTTGCTGATTTGAAAATAATTGATTTGGGATTAAGCTGATGATTCAGTTTTAGGTCAAAAGTGAAAAGGGGAAAAGCTATGTTTATGTAAAAATAAAAAATTAAATGAATTCCACCAACAGCAGATGTGTTTGAGGTCAATATATATTTTGGAGCAAATCTCCATCATCACACCAGTCCTAAATATCTCATGCACTCTCTAATTTGGTTTAAATATAATCTGCAGCACTCTTCAAACCATCTCCTGACAACCACCTCCTGAATAAAGCCCAAAAATAACAATAATATGCCATTTAGCAGACGCTTTTATCCAAAGCGACTTACAGTCATGTGTGCATACATTTTTACGTATGGGTGGTCCCGGGGATCGAACCCACTACCCTGGCATTACAGGCGCCGTGCTCTACCAATTGAGCTACAGAGGACCACATATTCAAAAATATATATTCAAGCATCTCTGCTTCAGTGAAACCTAAGAGGACTGGATGATGCCTTATATGATGCCTTTTTTTCCTAAACCACTGAACCCTGCACACTGGAGACTGTGACTGTTATATACCGTTAGTACAGCTCAGTGTTACTGTTATATTCTGTTAGTACAGCTCAGTGTTACTGTTATATACCGTTTGTACAGCTCAGTGTTACTGTTATATTCTGTTAGTACAGCTCAGTGTTACTGTTATATTCTGTTAGTACAGATCAGTGTTACTGTTATATTCTGTTAGTACAGCTCAGTGTTACTGTTATGTTCTGTTAGTACAGCTCAGTGTTACTGTTATATTCTGTTAGTACAGCTCAGTGTTACTGTTATATTCTGTTAGTACAGCTCAGTGTTACTGTTATATTCTGTTAGTACAGCTCAGTGTTACTGTTATATTCTGTTAGTACAGATCAGTGTTACTGTTATATTCTGTCAGTACAGCTCAGTGTTACTGTTATATTCTGTTAACACAGCTCAGTGTTACTGTTATATTCTGTTAGTACAGCTCAGTGTTACGGTTACATACCGTTAGTACAGCTCAGTGTTACTGTTATATTCTGTTAGTACAGCTCAGTGTTACTGTTATATTCTGTTAGTACAGCTCAGTGTCACTGTTATATACCGTTAGTACAGCTCAGTGTTACTGTTATATTCTGTTAGTACAGCTCAGTGTTACTGTTATATTCTGTTAGTACAGCTCAGTGTCACTGTTATATACCGTTAGTACAGCTCAGTGTTACTGTTATATTCTGTTAGTACAGCTCAGTGTTACTGTTATATTCTGTTAGTACAGCTCAGTGTTACTGTTATATACCGTTTGTACAGCTCAGTATTACTGTTATATTCTGTTAGTACAGCTCAGTGTTACTGTTATATTCTGTTAGTACAGCTCAGTGTTACTGTTATATTCTGTTAGTACAGCTCAGTGTTACTGTTATATTCTGTTAGTACAGCTCAGTGTTACTGTTATATACCGTTAGTACAGCTCAGTGTTACTGTTATATACCGTTAGTACAGCTCAGTCTTACTGTTATATTCTGTTAGTACAGCTCAGTGTTACTGTTATATACCGTTAGTACAGCTCAGTGTTACTGTTATATTCTGTTAGTACAGCTCAGTGTTACTGTTATATTCTGTTAGTACAGCTCAGTGTTACTGTTATATTCTGTTAGTACAGCTCAGTGTTACTGTTATATTCTGTTAGTACAGCTCAGTGTTACTGTTATATACCGTTTGTACAGCTCAGTATCACTGTTATATTCTGTTAGTACAGCTCAGTGTTACTGTTATATTCTGTTAGTACAGCTCAGTGTTACTGTTATATACCGTTTGTACAGCTCAGTATCACTGTTATATTCTGTTAGTACAGCTCAGTGTTACTGTTATATTCTGTTAGTACAGCTCAGTGTGTTTCGCACCAAGCCCATACGTCTGATGGCATTGGGACTTTGAAGACATTCCTCGGTGGATATAAATAGTGTATTTACTTCTCAGACAATAGAACCAAGATAACTTCCCTCTCCCTGACCACATTCTGCTTTTCTCATAGAGGGATAGCGCAATGTCTCACGTACTAGGACCCCAATATTTTTTTTGTTGCTCTAGAACTACACAGCTGATTCAAATAATCAACTCATCATCAATATTGATTATTTGAATCAGCTGTGTAGTGCTACGACAAAAACCTAAATGTGCACGCCTTGGGGTCCCAAGGACTGAGTTTTGGAAACCCTGGCCTATAACACTGCATTTGGACTTACATCCTCTGTGTCTTGACCAATCCAACATGAAACGTGACCCAGGTCAAGTGTACAAGTTCTGATCAGCTATCTATAGAACAGAGGTTATATGTGGCCTATCTGGGAATTAAAACCACATCCTTGGAATAGCTAGCCCATTTCCTCCAAATGTAATTTGTCAGTCTCCACATCTCCATGTGTTTAATCCTTCTCTCTGCACCAAGAGTTTGTGATGTGTGTATGATATGACAACATTCGTTTTCAGTCCCCAGATCTGCCACATCTGGAGATCTGACACGTCTTCCTTGACATCTCTGTCATGTTGCTCATGTCTGCAATATGGCCAGTTGTGGATTAATTTGTCATGCCATAAATGCCTGAGGCTTTGTGGTTTAAAAATGTTAAAAAGTAGCTGAAGAGTTGGAATCCGAAGCAGAGGCATTCAGCCTACTGTTTAATTAGACTAAGCCTTATACTGCAATATCATACAGAACAAAGAGGATTAAGGAGCTAAGCTTGGGTAACGGACATTAAGCCATTGTTGAACCAATACACAATGGTTCCATGTCACTGGAGGCCTGCCTGCACACAAAGCCGACGGCGTTCACGGACTGCTACCAGAACACAGATGAGGAAGTAGTAGACCAACCAAAACATGTTTAATCTCATATATTCCTCACTTCCTTTCTCACACACACAAATGCACACATGCAAGCACGCACACACACTCACACACACGCCATATTATGGACACAATTTGAGTTTTCTATTTCCAAGGGTTGAAACTAAAGAATGTATGAGTTATGCTTTCAACTGCTGCTGTTAATCTGCTGGCCATTATGGGCGGCAGGTAGCCTAGCGGTTAAGAGCGTTGGATCAGTCACCGAAAGGTCGCTGGTTCGAATACCCGACTACACTAGGTGAATAATCTGTCGATGTGTCCTTGAGCAAGACACTTAACCATAATTGCTCTGGATAAGAGCATCTTCTAAAATGAAATATTTGGCTGAAGATTAAAATAATTTCAGCAATAAATCATGTTATTTTATATTTATGATACAAGGTGTCCCATACCATAGGTACATTCTCGCCATCTTCCTTTCTCATTAGGATAAAATAATATAAGCAAGTGCAAAGTGTGATTGATCTACTGGCTTACATACAGTGTCTACCAGTGTATAAAAGAGGCACACTATCATATTTTGATATCATGATAGTCTGATTAATAACAGTTCATTTATAGGTGGTTTTGTAAACCATAGAATATGCCATGCACATGCATTCCGGTCACAGCATAGTGCCAGCAGTGTAGAGTGCGTGTTTCAGCACCAAGGACAGCAGCGCGTGGTTTGGGGGTTCAGCAATGAGGGAGGCCTGAGGTCCACTCAAAGAGATCTGCGTCACCAACCCGTCTGTCAGAAGTCGTACTCGATACCATTTAAGATTTTTTTTAATTGACTGAAAACTACTCCAAATTATGAGGGTGCAGTGAGATACCCGATGGGTTGGACGATACTTTTCTCGTCAATCATCTTGAAAAAACTTCTGGAAATCAACCAATCTTCTATCGTTAACACAATGGAAAGGTCAAATGCTTTATTATCTAAATGTTGAAAGTCTGTGGGCAACGGAGAAAAACAAAATGGTGCAGTTTGAGGCCATGTGGCGGAGAGTGATATGTCCGCTGGATCTGGGGGTACCAGCAGGTGTGTCTGTGCAGGGGTGATGTGGATGTTTGTGTGCGTCGGTATGTTGTCGTTTGTATGTGTATGTTTTGTGTTGTTTAAAAAAATACATAAATAAAATCTTTACATTTTGGCATCTCTGTCAAACTCGACCAAGCAATTGCAGTCATTTGTAACCATTTAGGATAGGCGCCACACCGCTCTTCTCACTCTCATACCTTATTGACGACTGTCTGATGAATGATTCATGTTTAGAATCTATAACTCCCGGTGCCCCACACAGCTCTATCGGCTCTGCAATCTGGGTTTATGACATCACTTTTACTCTGAACTAGATTTCTTTTTTAAAATCTTGACGGGACATAAAATATTAATTAAAGTACAGAAAAGAATGGGTTGTGCAATGGTGCTGGAATTATTATGCTTTGGCCTACATATCTTAGTTTCCTCACTGAATATTACATTAATTCTTAACTTTGAAAGCAGGGGACAATATGATTCACTAGCCATATTAAACCATCAATGACAATATATATATATCTGGCTTTTGTTTAATACATCCTATTCCCTCTGTACATTGTTTCTAATATTCACACATTTGTGCACAACACGAGATATTTTGATATGATATCATCATATTATTTACATATAAAAGTTCATTTTGGAACGAATAGTCATTCAGAGGTGTAGGGCTGAGCGCTGGATACGGAACTGACGTCTTTGTCTGGATGAGCAGTGAAGCACAGTCAGCCAGTTACAGCCTCAAAGTGACCCTTCTTTTCAAGTGGCATTAGTCCGTTTTGAAGTCCGGCAAACTATTTTCTTAAACGCCTTACGGAAATCCCTGTTGAAAATGGTATATATGATAGGGTTCACAGAGCTGTTGCAGTAACCAATCCAGAAGAAGGTGTTGAAGAGCGCGCCGGGAATGTAGCAGCTCTCCCTGCAGATTGCATGCAGGCTGTATGTGAAGAAGAAGGGGAACCAGCAGAGCACAAACACCCCCATTACCACGGCCAGCACGAACGTGAATCGCTTCTCACGCATCTGGGCCACTTTGGTCTTGGACGCAGCCACCGCGAGGTGCTGCCGCTGGGCCGCCAGGGCCACGTTGGCCCCGTTTTTAGGGTCTTGGAAAAGCTGCGAGGCGCGCGCTGAGGCCCAAGAAAGGCGGCAGCTCTGGCGCGGGCAGCAGTCCGAGCCCTCCACCTTCCTTCGCTTGGAGAAGCGGTGGTTACGGGGTTTGTTGTCCGAGGTGCAGCAGCTCTCCTCCAGGTCGATATCATCCAGCTCCTCCTGCCTGTGGTGGTCCTCGGAGCTCTGGCTACTGGGGCTCTCCATCTCCATCCGGTCCTTCCTCACGAAGCACGTCACAGACTGGGAGGGCTGCCTCTCCAGGCCGTTCTTAGCCACGAACACTGTGGAAGAGCGCTGCTTGGCCACTTTATAGATCTTACAGTAGACTAGGATCATGATGAGGCACGGGGCGAAGAAGGACACGAGGCAAGAGGACAGGATGTACCAGGTCTCGTTGTTTAACAGACACTCGTGCTCGTCGTGCTTGGTCATGATGAGAGGCGGGAAGGAGATGATGGCGGAGATGACCCACACCATGGCTATCATGGACTTGATGCGCTTGGGGGTCCGCTTCAGGTTATAGCTCACGGCCTTGGTGACGGACCAGTAGCGGTCCAGACTGATGGCGCACAGGTGGACTATAGACGAGGTGCAGAAGAGCACGTCCAGTGCCAGATAAAAGGCGCACCAGGTGCTCCCAAAGTACCAGTAACCCATGACCTCATTGGCAAGGGAGAACGGGATGACCAGAGTGGCTACGAGGATGTCCGCGCACGCCAGGGACACCAGGAAAAGGTTCTGTGGCGCGCGGAGAGCCCGGCTGGTGAGCACGGCCACGATGACCAGCACGTTACCGACGATGGTGACCAGAATGATCACGGTGACCACCAGGATGATGAGCGCAGAGCCCAGCTCTGTGTGTGAGAGAGGTCTCGGTGCGCTCGAGGTGTTGGCATCCTGCAAGGTGTTGTAGGTAACGGTGATAAACTTGGCTACATCCATCCTAAACGCATCTTCTCCTGGGTTATTTATAGTGTGCACCTTTCCACCCCCAAACAGCTTAACTTGGAAGCATTCAGTTGTTGATCAAGTCATTAGTCCTAGAGCATTTCATCAATGGAGACGCGCTGTGCGCTAGGTTGTGTGATCAGTGAACATATAGCCAAGAGCACATAGGTCAAATACGTGAGGACCTTCAGCGTCCTGGCGAGCTGCCCTCATCTTCAGTTCAATAGAGGAGGGTGCGCAACCGCTCCGTGCTCCGTAACAGCTCCGTGCTCTGTGCTCACAGCGTATCGAGTAAGTTTTTGCCACTATGAAGTCCAGAATCCAAATTAGTAGGTCTCCATATTAGGGTGATATTCCAGCGGCATCAAACAAAAATTGTTTCCGTTATCTCGCTGTCGGTCTCGTGCGCAGTGCTGTATGTTGTTTTATTAAAACGAGTGTCCCCGGTTAATCACAAGAGGCAGCGCGCGCTGCGAGATGGAGACACTGCTCGTGGAATATGTGTGCATGCGGGAGTGAAGTGAGTGATATAACTCCTAAGACCAACCCATCGCCAAACTTAGCGAGAAAGAGAGAGAGAGAGAGAGAGAGAGAGAGAGAGAGAGAGAGAGAGAGAGAGAGAGAGAGAGAGAGAGAGAGAGAGAGAGAGAGAGAGAGAGAGAGGTCTGACCATCTGAGTTTACTTTGGATAAGGAATTTACCTAAATGGTTCTTTTTCTATTTCCAAACCTTATTCGGCTCTCATGCACAAAAATAAAGTAATTGCAGCCCACCTACAGATGGTAATGGAAGTTGATTCATAAACATAACAATAATTTAACCATCAACTGTTATTACCATCTATTATTTCCTTTTGACAACAAATAGAGAACAGCATGAATGGCATGTTGGTATGCTGGTATGTTGACTTTAGGTGAGGTTCATGACTGGAATTGAGATCATTTAAGCAGGAAACAATGTGTCTGCTGACTGGGTCATATGATGGGCTGGTGTGTGAGGTTCAAAGCATAGCAGCTTCAGGGCCAGACAATGGACTATGTCTATGATCATCATCTGCATTGGTAGCAGGTTAGGGACAAACAAATAAGGACCATACAGTTTTTACAATGTCACGTGTTTTTAAAATGCTTTCATAGTGTTCGTTTTCACTACTTGAACTTCAGTCATCATGCAATGCTGAGCTGATAATAAAGAGATGCAAACTGAACCAGTAACTTAGCTATGCTTTAAATAATTATGTCTACATTTACAGAGAAAAGTATGCCTAATTTTTCCTATCAATGATAACATGATGTGCATTATACATTCACCTCTCTCTCTCTCTCCCATATTACACAGTGAGACGGAAATTAGAGAATACCTGTCCGTCTGTTCCTTGGACCACATTTGCCACAGGGGTTTAGTGACGTAACAGTCAGAATGCTCTGGTCAGCTGTGGCAGGGCTGAGGATTAAGCTATTTACCCCATAGAGGCGTGGAGACGCACAGACAGAGAAGACAAAGCTATCACAGCCACCCAGGGTAACAGGGAAAAGCATGGCTGACTGCGATTTGACAAAACGCAGCTCTGCTCTGAGCACATCGCTGCAGATTTGTGATTGAGTCATTTTAGTTTCGGAACAAAAATCCAGGGCACTCCATTTGCTAAATAAACAAGGTGTGCAGACAGGAGGGTTGAGTGTGATCTTATCTGAGTGCAGCGTTGTGTGTATTATTCAGAGTGGGTGTGTGTGCTTTACCAAGGGTGTGTGTGTGTGTCTGTGTGTGTGTGGGTATGTTGTCAGGTAGGCTCAGTTCTAGCATCCCTATGCAGAGGTACATGCAGCAGTGGTCCCCTATCTCCCCACCACTAACCCCCGACCTACAGTGCCTTGCAAAAGTATTCATCCCCTTGGCTATTTTGTTGCATTAAAACCTGTAATTTAAATTGATTTTTATTTGGATTTCATGTAATGGACATACACAAAATAGTCCAAATTGGTGAAGTGAAATGAAAAAAATTACTTGTTTCAAAAAATTCAAAATAATTAATAACCGTCCGTCCGTGTGTGTGTGTGTGTGTGTGTGTGTGTGTGTGTGTTTTGTATTGTTAGGTATTACTGCACTGTTGGAGCTACCAACACAAGCATTTCACTGCATCTGGGATAACATCTGCAAAATACATGTACGTGACCAAACAAATGTGATTTGATTTGATTTAAGCATTCAAAACTAAAAGCCAAGGTCAGTGTTTCAGTGTCTGCTCTAGACTTCAGTGTCTGCTCTAGACGTCAGTGTCTGTTCTAGACTTCAGTGTCTGCTCTAGACTTCTTTGGAGACTACAGGTTGGGGGTTTCAGGACAGTTGTGAGTAAACATTTCCTCCAATACACACTTGCACGTGCACACACACACGCTTACTTACGAGCCTGCATTCCAGCCCCTTCCAGCGGTACCTATTCCAAGTTGTGAAACAATACCCCACATCCTGCTGGTTGGGCTCCAGCTTCCTGCTGTGATGTCATCAACACACCTAATGAGAGGTGGATGTGCATCACAGCCCCGTCCTGACTCCCAGTCTCGTCCTGACTCCCAGCCCCGTCCTGACTCCCATCCCTGTCCTGACTCCCAGCCCCGTTCTGACTCCCATCCCTGTCCTGACACCCATCCCCATCCTGACTCCCAGCCCCGTCCTGACTCCCATCCCCGTCCTGACTCCCATCCCCGTCCTGACTCCCAGTCCCGTCCTGACTCCCAGCCCCTTCCTGACTCCCAGCCCCGTCCTGACTCCCATCCCTGTCCTGACTCCCAGCCCCGTCCTGATTCCCAGCCCCGTCCTGACTCCCAGCCCCGTCCTAACTCCCAGCCCCGTCCTGACTCCCTTCCCTGTCCTGACTCCCAGCCCGGTCCTGACTCCCAGCCCCGTCCTAACTCCCATCCCCGTCCTGACTCCCAGCCCTGTCCTGACTCCCAGTCCCTCACTGTGGTCAAAGGGTTTCCCATAATACCAGTGACTTAACACCGCATAACACAATTCAACCTCTCACTTCCCATCTCACTCCCAAGCTTTCAACTCTCCCCTACCACCACCACCATTTTGCTTGTCAGCAGCAAACACACACACACACACACACACACACACACACACACACACACACACACTGTTTCTGTTGGTCCCTTCTCTGTGTGAGTGTGCGCATGTCGCATGATCGTCCGTCCGTCCGTCCGTGTGAGTGTGTGTGTGTGAGTGTGTGTGTGTGTATGTGTGTGTGTGTGTGTGTGTGTGTGTGTGTGTGTGTGTGTGTGTGTGTGTGTGTGTGTGTGTGTGTGTGTGTGTGCGTGCGTGTGCGTGCGTGCGCGATCATCCATGTGTGTGAGAGTCACAGCTAGCTGATGTTTCAAACCGCCCTAATAGGGAATCACATTCCTTTCCTGTTCCACCAAAACAACAACAGTTTCAGTTTAGAGTGTGTTTGTATGCAGGGCAGATGGCAGCTCTGGATACATACATGACTACTGACCTTTATTTAGCCCAAAATAAAGGACAACATTTACCTCAGATTGTGTGCACCTTCAGACAAACTGTACTGGAACGTCAAAGCAATACCATGGCAAATTAAGTTCTGGGTAAAAGGTCAAATGTCTGGGCTAATTCCCTGATGTAAAATGTACCTAGCATTGTGTGCATAGAGTAGAAGGTTGTGACCAGATCCTTTCAGCCAGATGACAATAAACATGTGGCTAATTGCCCCGGGCTAAAATACCTGGCGTAGTAATGAAAGGCAAACACGGTCTATTAGGCGGCAGCAGCCATCTGTTGTATCGACTGAAGGGCTGGGAGATGGTGATAAATGGGAAATCAATGGAGTTGTCGGTGACGTTTCACTGATTTAATGCTCAAATTAGGATGAAACAGCAGTTTCCTTTCACTGTTCTGTTCAATTGGTACTAAGCACCGATCTCCAATTAATATGTCCCACAGGCTGTTATAACTATGATATTATAGGATGTTATTATCTTTGTCTAGGGTCGTAAATTGTTATTATCTTTGTCTAGGGGGCGGCAGGTAGCTTAGTGGTTAAGAGCGTTGTGCCAGTAACCGAAAGGTCGCTGGTTCTAATCCCCAAGCCGACTAGGTGAAAAATCTGTCTCCCAGCCCTTGAGCAAGGCACTTAACCCTAATTGCTCCTGTAAGTCACTCTGGATAAGAGCGTCTGCTAAATGACTAAAATGTCTAGGGTTGTAGGATGTTATTATCTTTGTCTAAGGTCGTAGGATGTTATTATCTTTGTCTAGGGTCGTAGGATGTTATTATCTTTGTCTAGGGTCGTAGGATGTTATTATGTCTAGGGTCGCTTAGTTTTACTAATCATTCCATGATGAACTATAAGCTTTATAGGGAAGTTATTTTCACTGATCTCCCACCTGCAGACCTCAAAGGAAAATGCAAACACAATACTTTATTTGAGTTTGGAATTCTATTGATTCTTCATAATGTCAAGTGAAATGAACCAGAGTCTAAAAGTTTCTTTACAGTATTAACCTCATAGACCTCCATTTGGAGTGAACATACTGGCAAACCACTTTAATGTAATAGTTCTTTGTGCTTTCTCTCCGCAGACTTATAATGAAACTTTTGTTGCAAAACCTGTAACATGTCTTAGAAAAAAGTCCCTATACAGAGTGGTCTGTGTGATTTTAGGATATACTTCTTAATCAAAAGGAATTGAGGCTTTAGGCCTACACTCTCTATTGCTGTGATGAAAATACGTTTTAAAATAGGTTGTTATCAATAAAATGTCACAATAAGGTGCAGAGCGCTCGATTTGCATTCTGTCGGCAAGGAGACCCAGGTCCGCTAAAATAATAATAAATAATATAATATGCCATTTAGCAGACGCTTTTATCCAAAGCGACTTACAGTCATGTGTGCATACATTTTTACATATGGGTGGTCCCGGGGATCGAACCCACTACCCTGGCGTTACAAGCGCCATGCTCTACCAATTGCCGTTT